TGACATCACAGAGGAAATTCTTAGAAACTGCCTTTTCAAATATCTGAAGAAGACATTTCCAACAGCTACCTTACGTACCACATTCTTCAGGAGACAGTTAATCCAGTCTAGCGTTAAGGATAAGATACCGCTTTTGGCCTTTTCAGTGTATATTTATCAATTTGCTTGCTCGTTCGGAGCAAAGTATATCGGTCGTATGCAACGTCAAATCCACAAAGGTATTCTGGAACACTGTCCAGCTTGGTTAGTCAGACAAGAAAAGAAGAATAGCAGCAGCTCTATCCTCGAACACCTTGTCATTTCTGGACATCGAGCACCCCCGCTTGCATGAATGCTTCAGAGACTCCCTCAATATCGTACAGAGGGACTTCGCATACGCCATCTGTACATAGCTGAATCATTAGTTATTCAAGATCTGAAACCTGAACTCTGCATTCAAAAGCGATACATACATTCTCTTGCCCTACCATGGCCAGAGTAAATTACTTACTATAATTTTGCTTCTTTCTTTTTTATTATGTAAGTTCACTATTATTATTGTTATTGTTATTAGTACTATTATTTTATTATCGTTATTATTACCATCATCCACATTTTATTACCACTTTATTACTGTTTATTAATAACACTGCTTTTTCATACAAATTTTATGTAAAAAAACTTCATCGTCTTTCCACTAGTTCCTGTTCATTCTACACGAGCTTACTGATTAGGCATTATCTCACACTTGTTGCTTCATGCAAACTCTGCCTCTTTTCTTACACCTTACATTAGGTAATACAATTTTCGACGACTACGTTTACCAGTATTTGATTGGTCTAAAGATTTATTTGCTAAATATAATTGTGATTATTGTACAGCTCATGAAAAAGAATCGTCGAAAAGAAAATTTCCTTCTTCGCTCTTTACGTCTTTTTCTTATGACTCAATATGGGATTAGTTCGTCTATTCAATTTTATTATACTGAACGAATTCCGTCCCCTTCTTATTGCAACTGTCTATATTCCAACCTAGAGGCCAAGTGGAAACATCCTAGTATAACAATAAGTCGACTGGATGATCTATCTCCTACATTATTACTCTGGATAGGCAATAATGAAGAGTCTTAAATAGGGTTAGCATAAGTTTCCCAATTCTTTCTTTCTTAACTGTTTTTGAATTGTTGTAGGTCCGTGAGAATGTCTATTTTACAAACTTAATATTCGTTTAATTGGTGGATGGTGACTAGCAGTGCAATCCAAGATGCGCATTTCATCCTATTCGGGACTCGTCAGCTATATGTACGTCATCGAAGCATCTGCACAAGAAGCCAACATGTGAACCTGAGACCGAGCACTTCGTTCCAATCAATCGACAGGAAAATCTAAAAGTCAATTAAATAATTTGTGAACTATGTTTAAAGTCGAACGATGACACCCATTACGAGAATTAAATGCATCGAACTGTTATCACCATATTTGACATAACTTGTGAACATATGGGTGCCTCTCTATACTAAACGAAACCTGATCCGTTCATTTAGTCACAGAATATGCAACATTCTCAGTCCTGACACTATAGAAGACGACCTGAACACTGAAAAGAACTCCTCAGACGTTCCATCATAAAATCCATGAAGCCAAAACCGCTGAAACAGCCCTCACCTCCTGCTCCTGAAATACTTCTCTGCCTGCATCGTCAGTCCAGTAGAGACATACAGGAATAAATACTGAGAAATCGTCTGTCGTGCTCACTGAGTAAACCTTCTCCACTGCTGAACTTCAACTAACTTACTCTAAAAAATCACTGATTCGTTGTTGTCTGATTATTTGGGGTTTAATTATTAGAAGGTATAGTGTTAAAAATCAGTTTCACCATGAATATATGCTAAATAAACGAATTTTTGCTTATTGAAACTATTAGAATCTATATCGAACATATTCTCCGGACGTTTAACAACACTATTTTGGATTATTGTGAAGACTCTTGTCCTCCTTCTAACACTAAATCTACTGAATCGCTGCAACGTTCGCCAGCAATACCATTTCGGCCTACATGTGTCTGAGAAGCACAATCTCAAAGTTTACGATCCTAGAGATTCACCATTCATTTTCATTGGAGGTCATAAGGGTACAGGTAAATCAAGTTTGTTCATTATATTGCTGAAGAAATGACTAGCACTCCTCTTGACTAATTATTTAATTGACTTAATGTAATAAAGACAAACTACTTATAATTCTAATTAAATATTACTTTCTAATATAGGTCTCATAAGTGCCTTATTGAAAGAATTCTGACGACTCTATCATTGCATTTTGACTGAACACTAGTAAGTAGTGTGATGTGTTTAGTCCCATCCACGGTGCAGACTGAATTCTATCAGTCAGGTTTGCATTGTGGCCACCAATGTAGGTAGCTCGCCATCGTGGTGCACATTGATTTGGTGACATCAGATAGCTGGAGGCAATCGGTGGGAAGCCTCGGCTGCACCTAGGTTTCGTGCTATTCGGCACTCACCAGTCAACAAGGCGTATCTCCAACCTCGAGGGAACTCATGTCCATTCTGAGATACGAACCAGCGTCATCCAGTGCCACCTGCAGTTAGAGACGTTACCACAGAGCTATTCGGGCTGGCTTGCGATTGACCTCTTATAGGACTGTAGTAGGTCTTTTGACTGGACACTTGTATTTAATGTTCAACTACCTAATATTATCAAATCACTGTGCACCGTGATGGCGAGCTATCTACAATGGTGGCTACATTGCAAACCTGACTGATAGAATTCAGTCTGCACCAAAGATAGGACTAGACACATCACACTAGTTACTAGTGTCCAGTCAAAGTACCCACTACAGTCCTACAGGAGGTCAACAGCGGGCCAGCCCGAATAGCTCTGTGGTAACGTCTCTGACCGCAGGTGGCACTGGTTGACGCGGGTTCTAATCCCAGAAGGGACATGAGTTCCCTTGAGGTTGCAGATACGCCTTGTTGACTGGTGAGTGCCATCTAACACGAAACTTAGGTGTAGCCAAGGCTTCCTGCCTATCGCCTCCAAGTATCTAATACCTATCACTGCTTTTAACTCACTTTATAGGTAAAAGTGTTAAAACATACACTACCTGTGGTTCCCAACAGAAATAGAGACGAAGCAAGAAATATACAATAGTTTATCTTTAAGCAAAGATTAATCAAGCTGATTTTGTGGCTCCCTATTTAATGGAATTAGGAACCATGAGAAAACTTTACCCTAGGACAGGTTGTTTGTACAAAGCCTACGTCAAATAACTCGTGAAAACTGTTACAGTAGAATGTATCAGTGATTTGAGATTCCATCAGAGAGACTAACTAGGAAATAAGTTTTCAACAAATTTGAGTCAGACTGTATACGTAAGGAAATAACACTTTTAAATATTTTTTCAGTGCAGGACTTAATCTAAATACCACCAACAGCACACGGAAATGCCTGCCAGTAGACGCCACTCCTCCCACGAAAGAAGAAATCACGAATGCTATCAAGCTACTGAAGTCCAGATGGGAAGGTGGCAGAACCAGACGGCATTCCTCCTGAAGCACTAAAGACGGCTCCAGAGACTACGGCAGATATTCTCACTTCATTACTGCAAAAAGTTTGGAAGGAAGAAAAGTTACCTACTGATTGGGAGAAGGGCTACCTCATCAAACTGCCAAAGAAGAGCACATTCGTCACATAACAAAACATAGAATAACAGTCAAACCTCCACCTCAACTTCCTGGATTTCGAAAAGGCCATCGATAGCGTTGTCTGAGAAGTAATTTGGAAACCACTTCAACATTACTGCTTGCAGTGATCAAATCTTTATCAGCTTCATTTAACAGCTGCCTATATGATAGTGCCACGTATCAGGTGGTCCAAAAGAGAAGACTCACCGAGGCGTTCTAATTGAATAGAGGAGTGTGACAAGCTGGCTGCCTATTATCACCAGTTATACTCTTAATTGTGATGGACTGGATTATGCACCAGACTATGAAAGAAGAGCAAGAAGTCAGGAATACGCTAGACAACCGATAAGTCGAATCTAGAAGATCTGAATTTCGCAGATGATATATGTGTAATGTCCCACAAACTGGAAGACTTGCAGGTGAAAACCAACAAACTGGCTGGAGAAGCAGTCAGTAAAGACAAGACTGTAGGTGATGAAAATAACCAATCAACAGCGACAATAACCAGCACCAATCACCATCAACGGGAGAGATTTAACAGAGGTTGCCTCCTTCACTTATCTGGGAAGCATCGTTTCAACTATAGGCGGAACCGACGAAGATTTCAAAGCCAGTCAGAATCGCAAAGGCAAGATACTCCTTCATTAACCCTAAACCAATCTGGAAATCTTCAACACTGAGCATAAGGAACAAGATTCGGATTTTCAACAGCAATGTCAAATCGGTCAGTTCTTCTATACGGGTCAGAAACTTGCACTGCGTGTCATGAAAAGGATTTCAAACAGGTTGCAGACTTTTACCAACAGCTGCTTTCGCTGGCTCCATACTGAAGATCAAATGGCTGACCAGAAAGAATAAGCAACAAGAAACTATGGGAACAAACCAATAAGCAAGATCCGATCGCTCAACAAATATGTAGGTGAAAGTGGATATGAATCGGGTATGCATTGAGGAGGTCGTAGAATGAAATCGCACGCCATGCCCTCGAGTGGAGTCCCGTTGGCAGTCGTCAATGTGAGATCGTGTGAGGCAGAGATGAGAGAGTTTGGTCAATCGTGGACCCAGCTGAATAGGACGGCATAAAACCGAACAAAGCGGAGACGTGTTGCTGAAACCCTATGTTCCACTAGGAACGCAAGGGAATAATAATATAATATAATACTACTTAAATGAAAGGCAAATACTTCCCGGTTCGGTTTATTTCATTTTAACTAATTCTACCGAGTAACCTTTATATATCCAGATAATATTTCAAAATAAACATTTCATACATTTTCCTCAAGGTGTTGAATTATTACATCGTCTGCTAAATACACATCCAATGGTACACTGCAGGTCAGAATCAACTATAATTCAATTGTTACAGTACAGAAGAAACAAAGGGTATGATAAAGAAAGACTGCCAAAATCTGGTATTACCTCTGATGTGTTAAATGAAGCTACAGCAGCGTTCATATCTACAGTTATTCAAGAAATGGGACCAAAAGCAACACAACTCTGCCTAAAAGATACAACATACTTTCAATTGCTCGATGTATTAGATGATTTGTTTCCAAAGTCAAAATTCATTTTAATGGTTAGAGATCCAAGGGCTGCTGTAGCATCTGTTATAATGTAAGTTAGTTCATACGCTTAATCGTCAAGTTATCTGGTTAATGGGTAATACACACAAAAAACCAACTGAAACTAGTTCATGAAGAATATTATGAATATATGTGCAAAACTTGGGTACAGTGGTAGTAAGTAATTCCATATTAGTTTGTTTATTAGATGTATCACACAGTAATGAAACAGTGTTATTTACTGGATGACACAGTTTCAAACAAAATTTATTTTTCATAATCATATCAACTGTATTAATCGCACGACTTCGAAACTTGAGTTTTATAGTTTACTTTGTTCTCTCCGATTTGTCGTCGTTGGGGTAGTAGAATTTTCCAGATGTCTAGCTGGACAGGTGTTGAGTCCTTCCTATTGCACGTACTTGCAGTTGATTCGATAAACAAAGCTTCTGTTATCAGTCTCTCCCTCCACCCTGCTCTTGCATTAGATTTTGAAACTGTCATCTCATCCCATCCAGCCTATTGTATTGTTGTGTGTAACTGTATGTGGTGAGTGTTATGACTGAACTATTCTCCAGATATGTTATCTTATTCTGGTCAACTAATCTAGATATTGCTAGGTTTTCATGCTCGGCCTATGTATTTCACCTGACGATCAGTGCAGGCAGGGTATTAGATTGGCTAAATCGTTTTTTTATTGGCTCCACAGGATTAATACTTTAACCGACAAAGCTTGTTTCTAATTGAGTTTGTGGGTTTGAATACCAACCACTTTTATTCCTGTCTTGTTGAGAATTCTGCGTAAGGTTTCTGAATTTCCTTCTTTCAATGGAATTTCCACTGATGATTTGGATTCCTTATTGTTGGTGTTGTCTTGCGTATGTTTGACATGTATGTCGCTATTAATATTATTATTACTATTATAATCACTATCACTACTATTATTATTTATTTTTTTACATTTCCCTACGGGCTTCCTGATTAATTTATCAGGGTAGTTATTAAGTTTCAAAGCTTCTCCTCTTATATGCCTCAATTCCTATCTTAGATTCTCCTTGGCAATATTCAGTTTTTGTGCTCTATCACTTAAACATTTCACCAATCCTATTTTTTACTAACATAGAGTGGGTGGGATGATCGGAAGTCCAAATATCGGTTTGAATGTGTGGGTTTCCTGTAAACACAAGTCTTTTACTTCCCATCTTCTTTCCCTTTTACGCTACAATCTAACATTGGAAGCTCCCCTTCCTGACTTTCCACTGCATAAGTGAATTGAATTGCCTCCACCTTGGAGTTAACGTGTTCGAAGAATCTGTCTATACCCTGTGTTCCAAGTACAGTGAATGTGTCATCTACATACGTACATCATACTTTTGAGGTGGAGCTGAACATTTCAATTGCTATGCTTTCCCACCTATCCACAACTGGGAATTTTGGTGACCCCATGGTAACAACCTCAGGTTGTTTGTGTATTTTCCTTTGGAGTTTAAATAATGTGGAAGTCAGGCATAGCTTCAATCCCAGCATTATGTCCTCAAGTGGCAATTTAGTCCTGAGTTCGAGTTCTTCGTCAGAAATCGGTTCGTTTCTGACTGCCTCTATAACCACATTTGTTGGTATACGTGTGTATAAACTGACAATGTCAAAACTAACCATTTTTCTTCATTATCTAATTTTAAATTATCTAATCTCTGTTTTAGTTCATAAGAATTTTTTAGTCTAGATTTCGAGTGGCTTTTAATGGGAATTAATACCATGGCTAAATATTTGCATAATTCATAATTAGGTGAATTTCTACAATCAACTATAGGTTTAATAGGGTATCCTGACTTATGAACTTGAACAACACCATACATCCTACTGGGGTTATTAGTTTTCGACATTTAATTAAACCATTTAGACTCACCTAGAAATGGCTTCATTCAGCGTATAAGGTCCGCTGTGGATTTCTTAACCTTATTCATAACGATGTCTATTGATTTATTAATTTCCTCATATGGTCCTGTTTCTTTGTGAGTATTCACCTTGTCCTAATAGTCTGATTTGTCTAATACTACTGTTGCATTTCCTTTATCTGACTTTCGAAGTCGTGTGATTATAATAATAATTATTATTATTATCATCCAACAGCTGTACGACAATGCTGCATGCCAAGTAATCCACAACGGGAAACTTACGGAACCCTTCGAAGTGAGGACAGGAGTAAGACAAGCTGGCTGCTTACTATCGCCAATGATTTTCCTGATTCCAGCAGACTGGATAATGCGACAAACAGCGGGCAATGAGGAAACAGGCATAAAATGGACTCACACAAAAAACTTGGAGGATCTTGACTTTGCCGATGATATATGTCTGATTTCCCACAAACGGGAAGATATGCAAGCGAAAAGCAACAAGTTAGCAGAAGAAGCACCAAAGATAGGACTTCAGGTGAACATAGAGAAAACAGAGGTGATGAAAATTCCCGGGCAACATCACCACCACCAACAACAACAACAACTGACAATAATCAACATAAACGGGAGGAACCTGAAAGAAACAACCTCCTTTAACTACCTGGGAAGCATCGTTTCAACTACAGGCGGAACTGACGAGAATATCAAAGCAAGAATCGGAAAAGCAAGAAAAGCTTTCACTACTCTCAAGTCTGTGTGGAGGTCAACAACACTCAGCATCAAAAATAGGATCCGGATTTTCAACTCCAATGTGAAGTCAGTCAGTGCTACTCACTATACGGATCAGAGACTTGGCCAGTGCATCGTAAAGAGCATCTCAAACAAGCTACAGACCTTTATTAACAGTTGTCTTCGCTCAATTCTGCTCAAGATCAGATGGCCGACTAGAAAAGATCAGCAACAGGGATCTTTGGGAGCGAACCAACCCGGCAGGAACCGATTGTGAAACAAACAGGCAGGAAGAAATGGAGATGGATTGGCTGGCCATACTCTGAGGAAACCATCAAGTGACATCACTAGACAAGCCATTGCTCGAGTGGAACCTGAAAGGGAAGCGGCAAGTTGGTCGTCAGTGCAAGGGTGACTTGGAGGAGGTCATGTGAAGAGGAGATGAAAATGTGTGGGCAGACTTGGAGCCAGGTGAAGACTCTAGCAGAGAACAGAACGCAATGGAGACGCACGGCTGAAGCCCTATGTTCCTGTAGGAATTAAAGAATACAATTATTATTATTATTATAACGAACAATAATAAATTGTGTTCGAAACTGTGTCATCCGGTAAACAGTAATACTGTTTCTCTGACTGCGTGATACATCTAGTAAACAAACTAATATGGAATTAGTTCATGAAGCAATACTTATTTACTTCCAGTTCGTTTGAATTATTGAATATTTTGTTATATTTATTTATTATAGTAAATATTTATGAATGAAAATGAACAACTTGAAAATTCTCATTGAGTGATATAAAAGGAAAGAAGTTCAATGAAGAGTTACTCCTCTTTTCGGCGATATCATTCTCAAGCTGTACAATCGCATTCATACACATGGTTAATTCTCTTAGTAACAATATGAATATTTCAAAGATCTGTCAATTATAATTGTAAATTATAAATAACAAATTTTGTTAGTGGGTTAGAAACTAAAGTAGGATTATATAAGCAAGTTGAGTAGAGCTCAGCTGAAGTTAAAATTGAACAAAAGTCAAGTTAACAACAGTGGTAATGAGGGGTAGAGATTTACTAAGGAGTGTGAGGTGAAAATATGACATAATTGAGAAACAGACAAGCAAAAAAGAAGACTTAACAAAACTGCTTATTTGGTGTTAAGATAGGTCAGCTCCACTGTAGATTTAATGACTGGACAAACTTATTTTGTATGCAGAGTTCAGGTTTTAATATATGAATTGCCGTTGCTTCTGCAGTTTAAAACAAGTTTGGTTAGTACTCTGTTAGTAAGATTACCACACATTCTGTAGATAACTTTAAAGTTAGAACAAGACATATAAAGTTACTTTTTGGGTTTTCTTAATGCCCCGAATTGATCAGATGTTCCAGAATAGAGCTTCGAGGGGACATCTTCTCTCCTTTTTGAATCTATGTGGGCAACTGTTCGATGATACGTTTGGATAGCAGATGCTGGGTACGGCCGACATACCTAGCTTTATACGATCAGATGAATTGGTTGAGGCACATTAATGAGGCCAACAGTGGTAGCTTATTCTTCACGTTCATACGAATCACTGGTTTCGTAGAGAAGGTCAGTCAGAGTTCAGCCGCGAAGAAGTTTATCTTCAGTGAGTAGGACAGCCGATTTCTCAGTATTTCTGCTAATGAATCTCCATTGAATAGTAGATTCATGTATAGAAGTTTTCTGGGAGCAGAAGGTGTGGGTGGTGGTTTTGGTGGTTTAGGTTTCATACATTTGGTAATAAAACTTTCTGGATAGCCGTTTTCCACAAAGATTCTCTGTAGAGTGTTTAACTCCTCGTCTATAGTATCATGGCTGCAAATGCTGTGAGATCTGTAGCTCAGCCAACGGATCAGGTTTCGTTTTGTAAATAGGAGCATCCACCCAGCTGTGAAAGTTAGTAAGTTATCCATTCCATGTCGGGTTTCTGTAGATGAATCTTTTTAGTGTTCCATCGTGTCCACATCTTGTTAACCTGGACGTCCAGAATTGAAATAACCGACAATTCTGATGGTTGATGCCGGAATTTCACTAATTTATTGGTTTCATCGTCTTCAAGAATAAACCCTTCATTACATTCAAGTGAATGATTGTTCGGTGACAATCGGAATAGCCATACACTGAAGTGCACACACTATTGAAAAATTTGACATTAAAACAGTGCTGTGAGATTATTCTGGTTTCTAAATAATAAGTATGCACTTTTAACAGTTTGAAAAAATTTGGGCATTGGGTATATGATATTCATTATAATAAAGGTTTTTGTATTTCCCAATGAATGAAAAACGAAACGATATTTTTCATTCATTGGGAAATACAAAAACCTTTATTATAATAAGTATGCACGATTGATCATAAAAACAGGGATAAACGTATTTTGATTGAACACTAATAATAATAATAATTTGCTTTATTCCAGAAACAGTACTAGTGGTACAGTGTGGAATTTTCAGCACTAGTAAATAGTGTGATGCGTCTAGTCCCAACTTCGGTGCGGACTGACTTCTATCAGTCAGGTTTGCATTGTGGCCACCATTCTAGGTAGCTCACCATCATGGTGCACATTGATTTGATGATAATAGATAGTTGAAGGCAATCGGTAGGAAGCCTTGGCTGCACCTAGGTTTCGTGCTAGTTAGCACTCACCAGTCAACAAGGCGTATCTGTAACCTCGAGGGAACCCATGTTCCTCCTGAGATTAGAGCCCGTGTCACCCATTGCTACCTGCAGTCAGAGACGTTATCACTGAGCTATTCGGGTTGGCTCGTGATTGACCTTCTGTAGGACTGTAGTGGGTATTTTGATTGGACACTAGTATCTAGTTCTTTTTTTGGCGCAGACTAAATTCGCGAGCCCGAATAACTCAGTGGTAACATCTCTGACTTCAGCACAGGCTGGTGACGCGGGTTCGAATCTCAGAAGGGACATGAGTTCCTTCAGGGTTGCAGATACGCCTTGCTGATGAGTGCCAACTAGCACGAAACCAAGGTGCAGCCAAGGCTTCCTGCTGATAGCCTCCAACTATCTTATAGGGATAAAATTAGTAATTAACCGCATATCCAGTAAGTAATTCATTAATCCAGCTGATGAAAATCTATAAAGTTAATTATTACATAAATCCGAATCTCTATATATATTACGAGCGTGTCAAAATTACTGATTACTCAATAGTATCTAACTTATCTTAGTGTTTTTACCGCTTGTATTGATCATGACACTGATGTTCAAACTGCTACAGCAAGAGAATTCTAGCTTGTAGAAACAGGTACTGAAACTTTATTTATTTACATCTTGAAAGATTTGTCACATTATTGATTTATATAACAAGTTAAGCAGTTATTCTCAGTGAAGACTGACTCAACAATAATTAATATTTATTTAGAATTTTAGACATGAGGTGATTCATGAAGTTTGTGTGAAACTTACTTTTGAAAGGAGAATAGTGAGAAGTGAATCTTTTTTCTGTCAAATTATTCGTCTGTCATGCTTAACAAAACACGGAACAACACCTTGTGAAATATACAATGTCTGATAGGCTTTTAATTCAGTTGTTTCAATATCTATCAAAATATGATTTAAATCTGATTTTCATTCTATAATCTGTGAAGTTAGTCTTTGGTGAACACTAAAATAGTAAGTAAATTGATCTTTACATGTATTTACGTGAGATTTATTCTTCAAAATTCAGTAAAGAAGTACATCAAATGATTTTCACTACTGTCAATTAATTGAATAATTAATTAATTAATTTTCTTCTCTGATATATACGGGAAAGTTAAGGCGCTTTCAACTGATGTCAGGTTTGGCATTATCACACACAGTCTGTGTGATTCATTGAGAGACAGTTGTGAGTGCAAGAACATCTCGCGTTTTCTTGTCTGTTCAACGTTTTATTAAAGATTCATATGTTTTCATGAACCACCCCTTACTTATGTTTTCAACCCCTCTTATTATCTCTTTATCTTATCAAATCTTCACTAAAAGCGTGTTTCATTTACTTCCCTTACAATTTAGCATTATTTGATCGGTTCATTTGTTTTTCTTAGCCTTTATCGCATAGTACTACCTGAACATTTGTTTGTTTAATAATGCTGTTTTTCATTATAATAAAGGTTTTTGTATTTCCCAATGAATGAAAAACAAAACGATATTGTTTTTACTGACGTTTCGCTATTTAATGCTAATAGCTTTATCAAAGTATTATTAAACCGGAATTTACAAATCTCAGCATATATATCAGATAGAGAACTTAGTGTACATGAAACAGCATTACTTGAAAAAGGTCTAAACTTCAACATAACTCGAAAACCGCTGACAGCGATAGAATTAGCTCCCATCATTGAACCTACATTAAATCTTTTAACAGATGATGAAGCTAATGAATTACGTCAGAAGGTTGGATGTATCCTGTCGAATCAAAAGCAGGGCATTTCAAATTTATCGAAGGCCGAACGTCATGCATTAAAAACATTAAGATCAGATAAATCTATTGTTATAACTAAAGCTGACAAAGGCAATATCACAGTAATTCTTAATACAGAGGACTATGACAAAAAAGCCATGGAGCATATCGAAGCAGGGCCTTACACATTAGTACCAGTAAACAAAATGTCTAGTACAATGAACAAAGTAAAAGCCCAAGTATGCAATATACTTAGAGAATTGAAACCAAAACTAGGGAACTCAGTTTGGTTTTCAATAGCTCCCAAGACAAACACGGCCGCCAGATTTTATGGAAGACCGAAAATACATAAAGTAGATGTTCCTTTAAGACCAATAATTGATTTTACCAATTCAGTAACATATACTTTATCAAAATACATATCAAGAATACTGAAACCACTTCAATACAATATTCCTTCGAACATCAAAAATATTGAGGAATTTAAAAGGAAAATAATGGACATAATTATTGAAGAAGACGAAATTATGGCAAGTTTTGATGTGGTTTCTTTATTTACTAGTATTCCGATTTGTGATTCACTTGATATTATGAAATATGAACTTGAAAACAATCAAGAAGTATTAAGTAAATCTTTATTATCAATAGATGAAGTTATAAAATGTTTAAAACTTTGTTTGGAATCTACCTATTTTACCTTTAAAGATAAACTATACTGTCAAACAAATGGAGTTGCAATGGGCTCACCAGCATCTCCAATTGTAGCTAACCTTTATATGAAAGCTCTAGAAAAGAAAGCATTGACAAGTTTTAGTTGTCATCCTAGAATATGGTACAGATATGTAGACGACACTTTTATCATCATAAAGAAAGCCGAAAAAGAAAACTTTCTAACAGAAATCAACTTAATCTCAGAATATATTGAATTTACTAATGAAATAGAATGGGCTGAGGGAACTATAAACTTTCTGGATTGTCTTGTAAAAAGACAGACTGACGAGAAGCTAAAGTTTACCATATACAGAAAGCCGACACATTCCAACAAGTATTTGAATTTTCAATCAGATCATCCAATAGGAATGAAAGTTTCAGTAGCTTTAAATCTCGTTAACAGAGCTAGAAACATTATAACAGATAATGACGATATGGAGAACGGGATATCCAACATAAAACAGGTTTTGATTGGAAATGGTTATCCTGAAAAGCTACTTGATAATATTATCAATAGAAAGGAGCATAAGGGAAAACCAAAAATTGAAAAATCCTGGCTATCCACGATAGCCATCCCATACCGAAAGGACACAGCTGAACAACTTCAAAGATTATTTGCTTCATATAATATTAAAGTCTATGTCAAACCTTCTAACTCTCTAGAGAAGGCGTTAGTACATGTCAAGGATATAGTTCCCAGAATGGCACAAAGTAATTGTGTCTACAAGATAAAGTGTTCCGAATGTGATGCATGCTATATAGGGGAGAGCAGTAGGCAGATGAAGGTCAGAGTGAATGAACATAGACTATGCACGAAACGTCCACCTAGAAATGAAGTGGAACTAAAAAGTCTGGAAAAAAGATCGGCTATAGCAATGCATGCTATAGAAAGCGGACATAAGATTGATTTCGACAATGTCGAAATTCTTGGAAGAGGATTTCATTCACATAAAGAAAGATTGACTTCTGAAGCCTTGCACATCTTAACCACATCGAATGCAGTGAATAGGAAGGATGGGATAGACTTATCACCTATATGGCAAACTCTTATGAAGCAAGACAAATGAAAAAATCAATCAGCACTCTATGAGCCTCCATGACCTTTTAAAACATGTTTATCAAATATGAATTCACGTATTTTCCATATGACAAATAACATACATACACACACACACTCATACAAAACTAATCTATACAAATTAACCATACAAGAATGAACACAACATCAACTTGACATTAGTCATTACAAAATATGTGATGACTGCTTACATATTTTCTATTGGTAAAAATGTCCATAGACAAATGACCTTCAGACAAACTGACTGTAATGTATGTAAAAAATTTTTGACTATATATTTTGATGATTATTAAAATCCGAATAAATCTGCTGAAGAAGCTGTGGCTTACACAGCGAAACGTTCAGAAAAATCTTGTTTTGATTTTCTTAACACGCTGGGATTAATTTAAATAATTTATAATGAATCAATCTGACTCGGCGCTCAAATTATTTCAGGAAGTTCGTAACACCTACGGCCTGGAAACCTATAATATATAACAAACAGTTAGGGGGTGAGAAAATAGACATAGGTCAAGTTAAAGGGACATATTGAAAGTAAAAATAGCCATGAAGATAACTATACCAAATAACAAAGGTAATAGTATGTCTGTTATGATATCGAAATAAAATTTACTAACTTGATCATCGTTCGTCTGTCTGGGGCATTTTTTAGTTGTTAAGTTGGTGAATTGGTAAAGATAACAAAATCATCATGTGTAGATTGTTGAATTTGATAAGTGTATAAGATTATAGACGCAGCGTGTGTTTACATAATGAAAGTGCTTATCACATTCGTGTTGGTTTTGTCACTTGATGGGGGGGGGGAGGGAGGTGTTGTAACCAGGTCAGATTCTGTTTTAGTCCATCATTCCTATTCAGGCAATTTTGATTCCACTTGATATGAAGTGCTTCTGATATTAAACGTTCTTTGTGATTTCTGATAATAATACTTTGATAAAGCTATTAGCATTAAATAGCGAAACGTCAGTAAAAACAATATCGTTTTGTTTTTCATTCATTGGGAAATACAAAAACCTTTATTATAATGAATATCATATACCCAATGCCCAAATTTTTTCAAACCGTTAAAAGTGAACTTGGTTTGGACATATATAATGCTGTTTTTCGTCATTCTTGTCATCACAGATCGTCTCACGTTTCCATCCTTGTTATTGATAGAACCATTATAGTAATTATTATTATAACTGTTTTTATCATTACAACTATTATGACTTATAGCACAATTTATATTCACCATCTTATTTTCCTATAGACAAAACGCCATGATTTGTTTATATTTGAATTTTTATTTGTTAAGTTATGTAGGCATATTAGAGTTAAGCTTGATGAGATCTAATTGAAAACAATATTGTTCGCTTAAATGTGTTGTTCTAAATTTTACTATGGGAATATTTCATATATATTTAAAATAGTATATAGTTACAATGCTTCAGCTGTACTGTATGAAATAACCATAGAAAGACCTTCTGCTAAGTCACGTGATGTTCAACAGATACTCGATGTAAACACAAAAAGACATCGTTTATCTTAAACCTGTAGTGAATTTTCACATATTTCGGAGAGTCGTGCCATTCAAATACTTATATAACAGGTGACAAAGAGAGGAGAGGAAAAAGATTTTATCAATGTAAGTGAAAAGTTTTATGGGTTGTGATCAGAGATAAAAGATGGGAAAACAAACTATAGAAAAGACAGAATGAACACATATTATTAAATAAAGTGAATTTTTTATAGTTTAGTTTGTAAGTGTTAGTTTTGTTTTTACGAGTTGATCACGGATTTATATCAGTTAGAGAACCATTGAAAACCACCACGGAGTGCTGGACAGCTGTTTCATCCTAGTTCCTTGGGGAATCATCGGCACAACGCACCCATGGCCAAAGTTCGAACCCAGGACCTTCTGATTACAAGGCAAGCTCGAATACCATTCAGCCACTGGGACCCAATTCAGTGGTTCATGAATTCTAACTTCTACCAATTCGTGACCAGTGAGATCCATTTAGATGTCACAAGTGAGGATGGATGTCCCAACTACGACAATAGTTGGGGTCGCGTTAAATCACGAATTAGTAGAAGTTAGAATTCATGGGCTAGCCATTGAAACTGGTTGGGTCCCAGTGGCTAAATGGCATACGAGCTTGCCTTGTAGCCGGTAGGTCCTGGGTTCGAACCCCAATAGGTGCGCACTGCCGATGATTCACCAAAAAACTAGGATGAAACAGCTGTCCAGTACTCCCTGGTTTTCAATGGTTCTCTAACTGATATCAATCCATGATCAACTCGTAAAAAGTTAATTTTGGCACATCACGTCATCTAACAGTTGTTGAGTGAAATGTAAGGTTTTGGACACTACATGTCGTGGTGTGGAACCAGTTATCAAATCACTTCTTGGACAAAGCTATATAAAGTGTTTCCGAAGTGGATTAAAATCCATTTCGTTCCGGGTGGGAGTTTTGCATCCAGACCATGTTTTAGTCTCTCCAGGATGATGCAAATTAATATTTTAACTGACCCAGATAAAAGCATGATTCTGTGCCTGTTTCCGCTAAGTCTTACTTCTCTCCCGTCCAGCGATTTAACAAAGTGGCCTTTCTTCCAATCATGAGATACTTTTCCTACTTTCCAGTTATCTGCAGTAGTTGCTTGAGAATATCTACTTAGGGACTGTGTGTCTGTCTTCAGTGTTTCTGAGGGAATTCCACCTGGTCCTGCTGCCTTCTGACTTCCAGTAACTTTCTGCTCATAGTTGTGTTAAGTATTCCGACGATCTAACCATTTCAATATCTGTTAACTCCCAGTTAGACTGTACTAAGATGAACAGCTTTCCATCAGGAGTTAGCAAATGGTCTTCGTCTAATGGCCTAAAACTAAATCCTTCCAAATGTCAGACTGTTAATTTCAGTTTCCGATGTAAACGAAAGTTAAATGAAGCTGTTGGTTCCTATGACCCTTGCAAAATTGATGATAGTCATATAGAAATCAAGTCTGAAATTAAGTATCTTGGATTTATTCTTCCTTCTGATCTATCCTGGTCCTCCCATGTCTTAGCGATTTCTAAAAGAATATTTTTACATTTAGTAGTTAAGGCACTCAGGCGTAACTCAACCCCTCCTCTTACAGTTTGTCAACTCGTGCATCTTACCTATTCTTCTTTATTGTTCACCCTTATTCTTTCCTGGATTGTTTAAGAAAGACTATGTCATACTTCGTAGAACTCTGAAGACTGTCAGTAGGGCGAGTGGCAGCTATCCCATTGGGCAATATCGTTGACATTGTCATTGATAGACACTTGATGTCATGCCACAAATTAGCCAGAGGAATTTTGTTAGACTGTGAGAATTAACTTTACCCGCAGCTGTAACCTTGTGTCTCCTCAGGTAAAACAAGAAGTCTTTTAAGAAGAATTTATGCACGTACGTCTAAGTGTAAAAATTCCACTATACCATATATCGCTGCACGTATTTCATGTGATGGAAATAGTGTTAGGCATGAAGTAACCAACCTTCTTTGCACTACTAAATAAAACATCTCCTCCACCCTTACAACATCAACGTTTGTTGTTATTGTACTTCTTATATTTATAATCCTCTCAATGTTTTGTTTTTATTTGTTTATTTTTTCATAAGGGTGAACATTATTTCAGCTGTGTTATAGCTGTTAATTTTGTTATTTCCCCTCACCATACTGTATCAACAGAACATTAAATTCAATAATCTATAACATGCTAAAATTTTCAAACTGAATCGAAAATACTGTTTGAAACAAACTCACTGTTATTACTATTATTATTACATTTATTGTTCTCAATTCGTACTTCGAATATTTTTGACTTTATACCGTAAATGTGGATAAATTCCTGTGGTTAATTTCATTTATATTTTGAGTAAATCAGATGCAATATTGTGACAAATGCTGAGAATTCCATTCTGTACAGTTTCTGGAATAAAGTAGATTATTACTATTATTATTAATAATGTATTTGTAATGATAATAATGCTTATCTCTTACAGAGATGGAGAACAACTTGTGGCTGGTGATTGTCAGTTAAATAAAGTATTATAACTAACCATTACTAACATTATTTCTTTTCTCACCATATGGCTTCATTATTATCGTATGATGATAATTTTCAACTGGTGTCTATTCCCTTCCTTTATGTTATTACCACACATCATTTCTATGTATTCTCCCCCTTTTTTGTAATCCCATTCAACTCACTAGGTTTTTTCATACTCCTCGTAGTTATCCTGTGACCATACAACTTGAAACTAATCTCATTTTAAATCCACAACCACTCCTAACATTGAAGTATACGCACTGCATAGGAGGCTATCATTGTAGTGATTAGGAATTTTAATTCATCCTGTGTATAGTGAAAATAATTTTATTCCTTGAGAATGCAATTTTATTCATGTTATGGAAACATTTCAAGCTTTTACGGAGAATATCCATTGGTTTCTGAAATTTTTCTGGATTGTTTCAATGTTTTAATAATTTAATAATTTTCAAGTAATGGTTTGGTAGGGATTTTTTTTAATTGCATGGAGGATTTTATAATGAGCTGACATCAGTTAGAGAACCACTGGAAAACCTGGGAGTACTGGACAGCTGTTTCGTTAGCCTAGTTTGGGACTCTTCAGCAGTACGCGCCCACCGGGATTCGAACCCAGAACCTTCTGGTTACAAGGCGAGCTCGTAGACCACTGAGCCACTGATGTTCTGGGTTCGAATCCCGGTGGGCGCGTACTGCTGAAGAGTCCTAAACTAGGCTAACGAAACAGCTGTCCAGTATTCCCAGGTTTTCCAGTGGTTCTCTAACTGATGTCAGCTCATGATGAAATCCTCCATGCAATTTAATAATTCCCATTGTAGCATTAAGAACAAAATATTCAGTGAAGAGACTCTTTTCAACGAATTTATTATCAAGCTGTACAATCGTGTATATATGGTATTTTACGAAATTATATCCGGTGATGGAATTAGGTCAAAAGTCTGAATACATGAAATAATAATTGTATGAAATGCGGTTAAAATATTTGTGTGTATAATCATAGATTAATGTCAAGTGGCAAAACAAGCAATGTCACATATAGAATAATACATAAGGTGTATAGATGTTGGAAAGGCGTACATAATTATCAGATTAGTAGATGAATATAAAGTGTTATATAACATGGTGTGAAATTTGACGGGATAGAATTCAATATTGTAAAAATAAAACATAAAAATTAATAATTTTGGGTTTAGAATGACAAGTGGGTCAAGTGGGGGAGGGACAGAGTGAGAATAGTAATAATAATAATCGTAGTAATAAGGGAAAGGTACATGGAATAACTAAATAAACAAAATAAATAAATGTCTATCCCTCTACGGCCGAGGCAGAAGTAGGGATTGTACATACTTCTTTTGTACACAAAGGTCTGGCTTAAAGTCATGAATGGACAAGGCCTCAGCTGTCTT